TGTGTGTTTGTGTGCGTGTGCGTGTGCTGATTACTTGCCCATACAGTACAATAGGAAGCACATCTGTTAAATCTCAGTTTAACAGTTATAGAAACCAAACCCTGTCTAATTTATTCATCTGGTACCCTCCCTCAACTGTACGAAATTGACTGAAAAAAAAAAGACTTTTGTAACATCTAGCAGCTACCTGTTTTGCATTGTCGTGGTAACACATGAAAGGAACAGTGTATAAGATTTAGTGGCATCTAGCAGATTGCAACTCCCTCACTTCATCCTCCCTTTCCAAGTGCAAAGGAGAAACTATGGTGGCTGCGAAACTTAAGCGCCCATGTACAGCCGGCAGGAATCTGTAGATTAAAATGGGTCATTCTAAAGCAACACAACGATTCTTATTTTCAGGTGATTATACACTAATGAAAACATACACATATATATATATATATATATATATATATATATATATGCCATTTCTGCTCCTAAATGTTACACACTGGACCTTTAACATGCAAAATACAAAATGCGAAGGTAGAATATCCTCACTATGAGGCATGGATACAGGTCAGGTTTTTTTTCCCATGAACAGAGATGAACAGAGAAAAGCCTGTCTGGAGGCTGCACCCCTCCTCGGAAATGCACCTTGACAAACTACATATACACAGATACACTGTACTGCGGGGACTGCAGGCCCGTCTTGCTGTTGGGCCTTCAAGTGTCAAGTGTTGAAGGAAAATTGTGGTTTATCACAACTTGGGTCTTATTTTTATAGTATTGGCTGTTAACTGGGAACACACAATGATCTACTGTACAATGAAGAGGAATGCAAGAAAACACAGTCAGACGATCATAGAAGTTAGCTAAATTATATAAATCACTTTAGTTATATGAAACCTGAAGTAAGCACATCTGAAAAAATGACAAATAATAAATTATTATATAATAAATTGCGCAGGAAAACCTTTTGCATGCACGACTACAAAAAGTACAATAAACCAGGTAGACTGTGTAAACTATGATGAATGTTTGCATTTTATGGCAACTGCCTGTCAACTCATGTGTCACATTGGACTAAAGCAACTGGCCAAAACCTATGAAAAGAAGACTCAGGTTGTATGAAACAATATTCCAGCGTTTTAATAGCCCCACGGTACCTGCTTCACTCAGAACTGCATTGGGACCTGAGAGACACGCAGGAGTCTCACATTCGTGCCGACGTCTGCTTGCAAATCTAATCAATACAGTGCACTCAAGAAATGTCTGATGCAGAGATTTCCCATGATGCATTGCAACCTAGGAATGTGATCAAAATAACAACAGATAAAATTCCACCGTGTGGCCGTCTTCCAACCACAGACATCCAACCTTTATACTTCATCCCATTATGTTCCTTCCATCCATTTCAGCTTCATCATCAATCCGCCCGGTTTTATTTACTTTTCGGTTTGAATCGTAGATGTGTATTATAGATTTTGATGGGGGTAATGATGATTTTGAACTCTACCTTTGGGTTCCCTTTGGGTAACCTTTCCTTTTAATGTCATTGTGTTTCTTTTGTCACTGTGTCTCCATATGTTGTCCATGTATGTTTGGTTCTGTCCTCATCATGACAACCCTTCCCTGCCAGCAGAAGGTAAACAGAGGCGTTCTTACAACGCTGATCCGCCTGTAGCTCTTCCTCTCTGTCTCTCTAGCACTGGGTTTTTATCACTCTAACAGCACTGAGAAGATTATACTTGTGTGTGTGTGTGTGCCTTTGTTTGCTGCATGGGGAGCACTAAAGGCACTCTGGGAGGAGAAGGGGGCTTGGATATAAAATCGAGGGACAAAGGAAGGAGGGCATTTTTATGTTTTCAGAGTGATGCTGAGAGCAAGCAGCACGTAAGGCCTTTGTGGCTGTGTGGCTGTCCTGCTTAATGACGCTGGCGAGAGAAGCAGCATGGCAACGCTCCGAGCACAGCAGGAGGAACTGAAGCTGCACACATAACACAGCATCCTCCTCATATAACCTCAGTGTTATATGCAACATGACTGATGTGTGTGTGCTTTACTAAAGGGCATACATCCTACATGATCCTATCTATGTCATAACACCATAAGATACATGTCATATATGGCCATTGCATATTGTCATATATGATAAAACATAACCTTTCATTATTTTTATTGCCTTTTTTTTATAACATTACAACAACTCTCTGATTGCAAATGAGTTTAACAAACGCTAATCAACAAATCAAGCGACATCTACTCACTCATCTACTTAAACTGTCCAGCAGCTTTTCCGCTGCCTTTGACATGAAAACTAATTAATCTCAACATTTTTGCACACTTACTAGACTTGTATGTGGAATCTTATACATGCATATATAAATGAAGTCATCAACATCATGGTTTTAAACACTCAAGTCAAACTACGAAGGCTTGTGGCAACTGCTCATATTAAAGCTGTCATTGTGCTTTGTACGGCTGTATGCAATAGGTAAGAGAAATCCATATGCATGCTCTACAGTAAGAAGAGACTGTTAGAAACTAGAATTTTAGCTCATAAATATGCATTGGAGTTGCAGTAAAGCATAATTTAACAATTTATCCAGAGTGAAACGCTTTGTCATGAATTTAGTTCTCAGTAAATCTATATTGCCTGCAGTGGCTACTGCTGCCATCAGCTGTTCTGTTTGTGACTATAAGTGGACTGCTGTTCCCAGTTTGAGCTGCTGGTGGAGCTGTTCCATGATGGGGAGAAAGCTATTAGCCCCACCGGCCAGGTCCCAGGAACCGGGGGCCGGACCCGCCTCAGCATCAAGCCTGACAAGAGCAGAGACAGCAAGAGCAAGGAGCACAAGAAGACTGTCGGCTGTCAGGTTAATATCTCTCTCCAGTGTTTTGTTCATGTGGTCTGATGCTGTAACATGACTGCACACTCACACAGTGTGGATATTTATACATTTAAAGTCAAATGTCAAATCCTATTAGTTGTTCCCTAATCCACTCCAAAGATTAGCACCTCTGTTTTAATTGTTTTAACATTGACTATA